AAGTTTTAAGGGAGGGCCTCTCTGACTGTTTTTTTGAACAGTTGATGATAACCGGCTGGCCTACATTAAAACTGATTTTATGGCAGTTCTTTTGTCTCTTGTTTTGCAGTAAGAGACATTTTTCCTGTGGTTATGCACTGGTTACACTTTGGTTTCTATGCAGAGCAACATCGCTTCAAAGTTTCCCTGACAGTTCCCTGAACAAGTAAGGCCCACAAAGTTTCCAAATGATTTTTAACTTAAAGATTAAAAAAGTAATTTCAATGTAATTTTCAGTTTTAATTTTCATTAACAGGCTAAAAACTTCAACATAAAGTCATTATTGTTATTACTTTTTTTAGAGAGAAATTTTCACTATAAGGTGCGTGCAATTGCTAGAGACACAGAAAGACAGAAAGTGAGAAATCACCCTCTGGCGGGATGACCATGCTGCAATCCCTTCTTCTCCATTCTCCTCTTGAGATTTTGGACATGCACATACCTGCTCCTGGCGTGAGTTTCAAGCCACTGGGTCCGGGACTTGAACCATCTTGACCATATGGAAGTCCAGTGCCCCAACACTATGCCCCCCAAGAAAATCATTATTATTTTTTGACATCACTCATCTCAGCGCTTACATTGTTCAGAGTGGTTCCCATGTTTAGTTTATTAGTTGGAATTCCTATTCTAGTTAGTTTATGTTCTACTTCCTTAAATGTACCATCCACTGTCACTCCAAAGAGACCAGTAGAATAAATTCATTTCTGACTGCAAATTTAAGGCATCGCTAGACTATCTTTAAAATTGCATATGTCCCAAATGCTTTTGTTAGAAAGGGAGTATGAATTTTAAAATTAATTATATACTGTGATAATTATGTAGCTAATTATAATCTGTATCTTATTACTTTGGGATTATGTAATATGAAAGCCATGGTTTGTGGGGGGCTCTGTGCCTGTTCTCTCGCTCTCGATATTGAGATCCAGAGACTTGATGGTGCGGCAGTGGTAAATGCACCACTCTGCAAAGCTGACTCACCATGAGAAGGCTCCTGCTTGTATCTGGAACCCTCCCCGAGTATGATGGGTATGCATGTGTCCAAGATCTGTGGCTGGATGGAGTTGGAAGTGCATCATGGCATCAAGACCCTGCTGGGGCTGTACTCTTTGTCTCTGTCTCTCTCACTCATGGAAGAAATACACTTTAAAAATACATATTGAGGGGGACCAGCAGTTAGTGTAATGGCTATGTCGCTGGGCTCCCATGTAGTCGACCTCGGTTCGAGTTCCGGACCCGGTGGCTTAAACTCATGCTGGGCGTGTGTGCTTGTGTGCCCAAGATCCCGAGAGGAGAATGGAGGAGAAGGGATTGTGGCGTGGCCATCCCCCCCGGGGGGTGATCTCTTGCTTTCTGTCTCTCTGTCTCTCTCTGTCTCTCTGTCTTTCTGGTGAGTGCACACGCCCTATAGTAAAAACCTCTCAAAAAAAAAAAAAAAACCTAAAAGAAAAAAAAATTGAGAAGGTCCACAGTTGGGGTGGTTAAGGAGCTAGACTCCCACATGGCTGACTGTGGTTCAAGTCTTGGATCTGGTGGCTTGAAAAAACACGGTGGGTGCATGTGCGTGTGTACCCAAAATCCTGAGAGAAGACTGTAAGGAAAGGGATTATGGCATGGCCATCAGCCCTGGGAGGTGATTTCTCACTTTTTCCTCTCTGTCTTTCTGTCTGTCTGGTGAGTGCACATGCCCTATAGAAAGAAACTAAACTAAAAAAGAAAAAAAAAAGGCAGGAAAAATTCATAGTACCTCAGCTTGGTGGTTAAAAGAAGAAAAGTAGAAAAATTAAAATAAAATAGTATAAAAAACACCCCACAGAAGTCCTTCTATTTTTTTTTTTTTTGAGAGGCTTATGCTATAGGGCACATGTGCTTGCCAGAAAGACAGATAGAGACAGAGAGACAGAAAGCGAAGGGGGGATGGCCACACCACAATCCCTTCTCCTCCATTCTCTTCTCGGGATCTTGGGTACGCATGAACACGCGCCCGACGTGAGTTTAAGTCACCGGGTCTGAGAGTTGAACCATGGAGTCCAGGGACATAGTCATTATGCCAACTGCTGGTCCCCAGAAGTCCTTCCTTCTTGCTGTAGAGCTCCTCAGGGTCCCTGGCTGACCTTCTTAGGTCCTTCCCAGTCCCAGAGCTACAGAAGTCTGATGCTTCCAAGGGGGAGGGGGGGATTCTTATCTCTCTTAAAAGATTCTCCTTAACATGAGTGGCAGCTAGAAAGGGTGGCAGGGAAGGCCTTGTGGGGCAGTGACCATTTGGTTGCTGTATGTAAAACCTTCCAGGTAATAGAGTGAGGTAATAACTCTGAACAATTACTTAATAACTGTCCCCCAGCTGACTCACCTCTTAACATTACATAACCCGCAGCTTCCCAGCCAATGTGCGTTGGCTCCCTGGTGTGCTAACAGGCTGCAGGTGTGTAGGGTAAAGGGCACCTCCTCCTGCCCAAAGTAGTTTTACCCACTTACAAATTGCCTGCCCTACAAGAGTACCACTTTCAGTGTGTGAAATATGAAAAAGTTACAAGCACTGCCCTCACCCACTGGTTCTCAAAAAAATTGTTTTAGCCAAATATTACCAATAAAAGCAAAAAAAAAGTATACTTATATCCTCAAAGGAGGCTTTCCAGGTACAGTTTGAAGTGATTCTTGGTAAGCAACAGTTTCATTAAAACCTAGTAGTGTCGCCCAACGGCCCCGGGGGCTCACGCCCCCGGCGCACGGCGGCGCCCGCCAACGGAAGAAGGCCGCGGGGGCTCATGCCCCCGCGCGCAGCAGCAACAGCAGAAACAGCAGCCGCGGCACCCGCCAACGGAAGAAGACCCCGCGGGCGCACGGCCCCGGC